TTAGATTTACATTTTGGCGCTGATAGAGCACTACAGTATTAACGTTTTAGTACATAGTGTGACAATAACAAACAACGTGGTGTTACGTTTTTCTTAGTTTAAAACTGTGGTTTCTGTGTATTTTAAAAAATGGATATTAATACGAATCCGTAAGTATTCTAATCCATATTTTATAAATTTGTTCACCAAAATCAAGCTAAATACGAAAAAAAACTTTATTTTAGTGACTTAACCTCAAACTAATAATAGAAATGTTCTATTAGAACAATATAATATTATATTGTTCTATTAGAACAATATAATTATATTTTCTATCCGAAAATATAATATTATATTTTCTATTAGAACAATATATATTATATTTTCTATCCGAAAATGTTTGTGCTCTATATTATTAGATCCACTATTAGAACAAATTAAAGGGAATAATAATTTTTCTGGTTTTAGGTCAACTTCTGCAAATAGAAGCACCGTCAGAAAATTGTCAGTTCGAATATTTTGAGGACAGCGATGATTCTTGTCGAGATCCGGATTTCATTCCATCGGATCATACATCGGATGAAGAAATCGAAAGTGTCAGTTTATCAGCCAGCGTCGCCTATGAGACAGGAATTTGAGTTATATTGTGTTAGTCTGGTTAGTTTAGATAGCTTTTTGCATAAATTTGAGTATTAATTACTATAATATTTCATTCGTATAGTTATGTGTATGTAAAAAACAAATTGTGGGCATACCAACGTGTCCATAGCAACTGGTATTATTATTATTTCAGAAATGAATTCACCTCGAGAAGCCAATGAACGGACGGTCAACCAAAACGCCCCAGAGGAAAGCAACCAAGTAACACGTCGGGAGAATATGACTGTAACAGAAGGTAGAAAACTCAGTAGAAAACGCAAACGGCAACCAGAAACTTGGAAGATGAACGTAAATAAAGCATTATGTCAATCAGGTCAGGAATACAAAAATGTAAAAGGAACAAATCGAAGGGGTAGAATTTAAAAACCGTGAAAAATTGTGAAAGCAGCTGTAAATTCTCTTGTGCGGACGAACTAACAGGTATCCCATCATCATCACAACAAGGTCGTCATACTAAAAAACCATAGGCGCTACCAGTAAAGACAACGTTCGCCTACATATAAGCCAACTACCACGAGTTGAGGCTCACTATTGTAGGAGTCGACACGAAAAAAGAGTATCTTGATGGAACATTGAATATGAATAAGCTGTACTCTTTGTATGTCGAGTTTTGTACTGAAAAACAACTACACCAGTTAAAAAACATATTTACAGAAACATTTTTAATTACGAATATAATATTGACTTTTTAAAACAAAAAAAAGATCGTTGTGATGTGTGTGAGGAGATCAGATTGAAAAAGGAAGGTGGCTTCACCGATGAAGAAAAGTGTATTTTTGAAAACATGTTCAGGGAAAAAAAATCACTAAATTAGAACGTGATTTAGACAGGGCCAATGAAGATCAGCCTATAATATGTTTTGACCTTGAGAATGTATTTGCACTGCCACGTTCTAATGTGTCATGTTTCTTCTACAGTAGGAAACTAAATACTTACAACCTTACTGCTCATTGCAGTTTAAAAAAGCAAGCCTATTGTTGTATTTGGAGCGAGGGCACACATGGACGGCAGGGCAGCGACATCGCTTCAGGTCTAATAAAGATATTAAACATGGTTATTGTGGACTTTCCGTTTATCAAAAAATAATTTTGTGGTCTGATTCCTGCGTGCCACAAAACAAGAATTCAATAATGAGTCTAGCATTAATGAAGTTTCTGGAAGAGCATCCTACACTTGAGCAAATAGACCACAAGTTTGGAGAGCCTGGACATAGTAGTGTCCAAGAAGTTGATAATTTGCACAGCCAGATAGAAAGAAAATTATCCGGAGTAGAAATTTTTAGCCCTCTGGGATTGCTACGCCTTCTACCGACGGTTAACCAGAGGAAACCTTTTAATGTTTTTCACATGAAGCCCCAAGATTTTTTGTTTCTTTCTTTCTTTATAAAGAAGCATCACAAACTCTGAATTTTAAAAAAGTACCCTATTCATCTTTAAGGCAATTAAAGTATACCAGAACTGACCTTAAAAAAATTTATTACAAGGTTAGTCACGATAAAGACTCCAATTATATTGAAGTTCCAATCTCGGCATCAAACACAACCAGAACAAAAACAACCAATCATGTTTCAAGTTTATTGCCCGAAATACGAAGCGCTTCTGAACCAGTAAAATGCCTTCTGCCTTTTGCGAAAGTTCTTGACCTTACAAAACTATTCAAATTTATGCCACCCGTTGACCTAATGTTTATAAAAACTTTTTTTAAACAATATAACGATGCTGATATTTATAAAAAAGAAAAAATACGTCACAAAAGGCAAAAAACAAGTAATAGGGATACAAAAATAAAAAATGTTGAAATAAAATGTTACTTTTTATAAAAATAAATAAGTTATCGTTTAGTTTTCTATCATTCCTGTGTTGTTAGAACAAATATTTTCATATTTTGTAAATCTGATTATGTTAATAAAATATTTTTGTTCTATCAGCCATTTGTTTATTTATTGTTTTAAATATTATAAGCAAAAAAATCTAATGAATAACCTAAGAAATGCGTTAACCAGATACCTAGCTCTCAACTCGAGTACCATTTCAAAAAAAAGTAGGTAATAATAGTGAAAATAGTAAATGTGAATATTTAATTACGTTTTTCTCCATAACTACTTTTGTACTATTAGAACAGTATAATAGTCAACCCACGATATATATATATGTATATATATATATATATAAAATATTTGTGCACAATGGCATTAACAATACTGTAGATGCACAGTTTTTCATTATAATACAATATAGGTTATACCATAGTTCATTCTAGAAATTATGTATTCATGTTTTCTTTTCAAAACCCTTCGATGTCTAGGTTCTTTCTTGAGATGGGCTGGAAAATCAAACACAGATGGAACTGCCACCTTTTTAGTACCTTATTCCATGAACACTAACTTCATAATCCTCTGGAGTGAAACGCTTTTCACAAATTACCGTTGTTGTACTGGGAGTAAAGTTTTCTCTCCTTATAGCATGTAACCACAACTTCCTCATGTTAGGATTTGTAGGTATCCTAAAAATCCAGATATTTTCTCGAATTACCAAAATTAACAGGTAATTCTCACACAAAAATGAATGGGATGATTAAAACCAACCTGTGAAACTTCATTTTCACATCTTCTCTGCGTCTATTGCAACAATGGGGTATTTTCCAAAAAAAAATTTTTTATTCCAAATTGAAGTTTTACATCTAAAAACTATATATTGAGTAATTTTACATTTCTCTTTGAACAAGAAGTAACAAAAACTCGGCTTGAAAGTTTAAAAATAAAATTTGCCGCCAACTGTGTGACGTAATAATATCTCGCGTGACGTAGTAATATTTTCTCCGCCCCCTTCTTAGAATGTGACTCTACATTTGTTCGGCGATTACAGTGTGACAAGGACAGGAGATTTTGTTCTACAGACTTTTTTGACAGATAATTTAAAGGTTATGATGCATTCTGGCTATGTTGTTGACGATTTGGTATTATGATTTATCTTGTGCTAGTGACTGATTTGGAATTTAGCTTTTTAAATACACAATTAAAATATGGAACAAAACTTCGTGAAAGCAGATTCTTCGAATTTACCGAAAGTAGCTTACGAGATGATCGATGAATACTATCGACACAATGCAGACTTTGTCAAAGCAAATGTGAGAAATGTGAAAACACAAAGGTGGGTACTTTTTCGATTGTTAGGAAACATATTTTAATAACCATATTGTTCTTAGAAGTGGCAAGCAATCGTATGGGGATCAAGCTATCGGATTTGTCCAGCTGATGCGAGAGGGATCAATATGTACTGTAAAGTGCCATGTAACTCCAGAACACAAGATCCACGAAAAAGGATATCAGGTGACAATTTGCATTAATGAGGCTGAAGAGAAGATTACACATAGTGTGTGTCATAGCTGCCCAGCCGGTGAAGGTATTGAGTTTAATAATTCCTTGTGTCTTTATAATGTACTATATTTTAATTTCTAGGAGGGTGCAAGCATGGTGTAGCTCTGATATTTTGGCTACTACGACATTCTACAGAACCTTCTGTAACAAGTGTTGAGTGCTACTGGCGAAAACAGATTTTAGCAAAACTAGGTTCTTCATTGAAAGCAGCAAAATTGAACGAGCTATTTAAGAATATTCCCATAGTTGCATCACACAATAATTCTTTCTTAAAAAAACTACTAGAAAAAGGATTAGAAAACAAAAGCAACAGCATTTACAAAACTGAGAATGCTATTGATAAAGTATCCCTATATCATTTAATAAAATAAATTTGTAAGAAACAGTAGCAGCATCACTGCTGAAAATTTTATTCAGTATTGTCAGCAAGAAATGAATGATCAGCCTTGTAAAGAAATTTTAAATCAAACGAAAGATCAATCCAATACTGGTACATGGTTTGAGATAAGGTATGCACGTATTACTGCATCGAAGTTTTATGAAGCAGCACAGAGTACAACATATGATGGATGTTTAGTAGAGTCAGAGTCTATTTTGGGTGCTGCAAAATTCAAGTCCACAAAGGCTATGAAGAGGGGATTATCATTAGAGGATGAATTATTGAAGGTTGGCAAGAAAGAAACTAATAAAAGTAGAAAAAGTAGGAATATTTATAGATAAGAGATATCCTAGATTTGGAGCTAGCCCTGATGCTGTAAATGTTGAGTTTTGTATTGAAATAAAGTGCCCATCAAAAGAATCGACACTTAAGCAATACTTACATGATGGAGTCATAGGTAAGAAACCTTTTGCCCAAATTCAACTGCAAATGCTATTGTTGGGCAGAAAGAAGGGATTATTTTGTGTTGCATCACCAAATTTTGAAGTGAATAAAGATGTATCAATTGTAGAAGTTGAACTTGACATTTCTTTTTGTAAGGATTTGCTGCAAAAAGCAAGTTTATTTTGGCAAAAAGCTATCTTCCTAAAACTGATTCAATAGATCTACTATAATGTACTCAACTTGTAATGTCAACAATTTACCTATAGATTTGACTAAAAGACAACTCAATTGTTTATGTGTATTGAAATATAATATGTGGTATAAACTTTCATGTATCAGATTTTATATAAATGTATCAAAGTTTATTATACTAATATTTTCAATACCTACTTTTAAATTTTTATTATCTTCAAATTTGATTTATAATAAACTGATTTAGTAACTGAATTAATCAGTTAACAATGTATACACTACAACATACACTTAATGGTACCAAGATTTGGGCACATATATAAGATAGAAAAATGTATTTTGACCAGGCAACATCAGGTTTAGCTGCTAGTTTATTTTATTCAGGTGTCATCAGAAAATGTATGATTAATATTTGCAAACTGTGATACATTATGCAAATGTATTTAGTCTATATTATGCATATATTCTTGTCTAATTTATTTGATTGAATAAAGCACTTATGTTTTAAAAAAGTATTTTCTTAATGAAATGTTTTTTAACTATTTACATTAGTAGGTATAAACTTTCATGTATCAGATTTTATATAAATGTATCAAAGTTTATTATACTAATATTTTCAATACCTACTTTTAAATTTTTATTATCTTCAAATTTGATTTATAATAAACTGATTTAGTAACTGAATTAATCAGTTAACAATGTATACACTACAATATACACTTAATGGTACCAAGATTTGGGCACATATATAAGATAGAAAAATGTATTTTGACCAGGCAACATCAGGTTTAGCTGCTAGTTTATTTTATTCAGGTGTCATCAGAAAATGTATGATTAATATTAGCAAACTGTGATACATTATGCAAATGTATTTAGTCTATATTATGCATATATTCTTGTCTAATTTATTTGATTGAATAAAGCACTTATGTTTTAAAAAAGTATTTTCTTAATGAAATGTTTTTTAACTATTTACATTAGTAGGTAGCTGCAAATGTTTTAAGGTATTTGTAGATGAACAAAAATATTGATATATACCACAAGCTGACCAGTTAAAATAATCCTGAATTCCATACAATTATTGATCTAATAATCTTTTCAAAAATTGAATACACAAGGTATACACTTTACTAAATAATTAGTTATTTTTATGTCATAGAGCGTTGGTAAATTCGAGTAATTTATTTATTTTGAGGTTGCTAAATGATAATGTGTCGTAAGGGGAATAAAAAATTATAGATACTCCAAAAAATTATATTATAAGAACAGCCTCAAATAAGTCCTATACAAGTATTTTAACCTACAAAAGGAAAAATTGGTGTTTTACAAAATAATTGTTTGAAACCTCTATCTGCCATTATTATGCAGTTTTCTGGAATCACATTAATGAAGTCTGATTTCTCAACAATTTGTACATCCTCCAAACCCACTAGAAATAATGTTTATCGGCCCATTAGGAGTACAACTCACTAGATACTTTATAGTATTACACTTTTTATATTCACTCCATGTTTTAGCCTGATGCAGGGCATTTGAAGGTTTTTCGATTTCAACTTCAAAGCAATCAATAATTGATTGTACATTATTGTAATAGGCTTTAAATTGATTTGGTACTAATTTTTTGATTTTCCAACTGGGAGGCCAAACAATCAACTGTATCATTAAAGGAGCCATTACTACAACAGTTTTATTAAAAATTTTAGAAATTGCACTTGTGCTTTTACCAAAATCAATTCCTATTCTTGAAAACTGATCGTTTGTCCTAATTTTTGTCATTGTGATCAAAACATCAATGTAATCCAGTCCACCTTCAACTAATAAATTTACAATATAGAAACAGTGTTCAGGCAAACCTAAGAAAAACCGACTATTGTTCTCTAATTTAGATATTTCTAGTCCCTCTTTTGATGTCTTCAGTCTTGCTCCATTGCTTCCTGATGAAGTGCTTAATAGCTGCGGGAAGGAACTACCACTTGAGCCATTAGTGCTATCACTACAAATCCCTGTGCACTTTTCAACCAATAATTTTAGTTTGAGATGACTAGTGGCAACAGCCTTTTCTGCCATATGAGGTAGTGTGCTGGTTGACACTGTTTTCGTATCAACATTAACTTGGACTCCTTTGGTAGGACATATACGTCAAAGTGACGTGACGAGCGAACATCATTTTTGGTCGATTCCGAGCTTGAATATTTAATTAGTGGCGAAACTTAGCTGTTCTGTAAGTAGTTTTAGGTATATCAAGTCTGAGCAGGAGCCCCGCAACATATATGAGCGTCTCCCAAGGGGGCTTGCCCCCTGGAAAGAAAAGGAAGGAATCGAAGGATTCAATGGATGCAATTATTGAAGATAATTCCCAGGTCGGTAATGATAATACAATTGACTATGATCTACAATCAGGAGTAATGCAGGTAGAACTTCCAACATTATCTCCCAAAAAAGCAGATCGACCGCTTTTAACATATAAGCAAACTGATAAGGGCCCCTATCATGTTTATATCGAAAACAATGAACCAAATTTCTCAGGTAAATTAAATCCAGTTAAGGTTGGTGAAACTATTCTCAAAAATATTCCTGAAGTTGACAACATGATTAAAAGAATTGAATCGATTGGACGCAATAGGGTAAGGATTGTGTTCAAAAATCCATCATCAGCAAATGTCCTGTTAAACAAAACGATTTTATTCAAAAATATCAATTTAGACGTTTATATACCCAAATTCATTTTATATAGACAGGGTGTTATTTCGGTGGACAAAGACTTATCAGACGAGTACTTGTTGGAGAGGATCAAACCTTTCGATTCTCACTGCATTTTCTCGGTGGATTCGGTTAAACGCATGCACCGGAAATCAGATCAAAATGGTGACATTAAATATCTACCTATAAATAAGGTTGTAGTTACTTTTCAAGCGCAAGAATTGCCTAAGCGTGTTGCTATAAATCACGTTCTTTTTGATGTAAACCATTATATACAGAAGGTAATTCTGTGTCATAACTGTATGCGTTATGGTCATTTGGGTAAGCAATGTAGAAGCAAGCCTAGGTGTGCAAAATGTCACGAAGAACATGTTACTAGCTCATGCCACAACGACTCTTTGGAACAAAAATGTTTAATTTGCGATGGCAGTCACTACTCATTTGAAACCTCAAAATGTAATGAATTTGAGAGGCAAAAGGCAATTAAAAAGCATATGGCAATGACTAATTCTTCTTTTAGAGACTCAAACAATGCGGTCCCAAAAACCACATATGCTTCAGTTACCAAAAATAATCCCATTACGCCTCAAGAAATCAATAGTTCTAATCTTCCATCTCAGTCAACAAAAGCTCAAACATCAATAAATATTCCAAATGCGAATTCGCACTTTACACAAAGGTTGTCTAAACCTTTGAAACGGAACTCGCCTTCCTCGCCAGATTTGACAGAAGAAGCTAGGAGACAAATTGTGAGTCAAATAAACACTCCACAGGTACCCGGGGTATCACTAATAACCCCAGTTACTGTGTACATGAATTTAATACGAGAGATGAGACGTTCATCCAACAAGTTTCAGAATTGGTTATATTTGTTCTTACAAATTTTAGAGAAACAAACATTAACAGCTTGAATAAATCAACTATAACTAATCTCATAAGAGAAAGATTAAATATAGACAAATAAATTTAAGAATTAAGAAAATTACAGTATATTTTTAATCATTTTACACTTTTACCAAGGTGTTCGCACGTTATAAAAAACATAAAATAGAATCTATACAATGCATTTAGAAACCACAATGAATTTTTTGAGGATATGTCAATGGAATTGTAGATCGGCTATAGCAAATAAAGGTAATTTGGAACACCTTTTAGAAGAACAAAATGTGGACATCGCACTTTTGTCTGAAACCTGGTTTAAAATGAATACATATGTAAAATTTAAAGGTTATAACGTTATCCGTCAAGACCGGCCAGATGGCAAAGGAGGAGTGGCTATACTGATGAGAAATAGTTTAAAATATTCTCAAATATCATTAGTTGCTTGTAATAAAATAATGAAAGTATGTTCTACAGTAAAGTTTCAAGGAATCTCAGATATTACATTCGTATCAGTATATATTAAACCACAAACCAAAATCACTAAACAGGAATGGATACAATTTTTTAGTTCCTTACACAGTCCATGTATTATAGGAGGTGATTTTAATGCACATCACACTTCATGGGGTTGTGCTCAGGATGACGTATTTGGGAAAATCCTGATTGAAGCTCTAGATGACAGTAATCTCAGTTTTATCAACAAAGGAGATCCAACTTATGTAAAATATCAATCAAAATCAGCAATAGATCTTACATTATGTTCACCTCAAATTCATCATCAGCTAGAATGGCGAACCTTGCCAGACCCATGTGGTTCAGATCATTTGCCTATACTTATCAATTGTAATTTTACTCCAGAAAAATTGTCATTTGCATCAAATAGAAAATGGAACATAAACAAAGCTTGCTGGAATCAGTTCTGTTTCGAGAGTATAAATAGATCTTATGTAGAACCTGTTATAGATTACAGCACTTTCATCAAAAATGTTAACCAGTCAGCTGAAGCTTCTATTCCGAAATATGAAAACAAAAATAATGTCAAAGGAAAACCATGGTGGACCAATGAATGTACTATAGCAGTAGAAAAACGTAAGGATAGTTTTAGACTATATCAGACAAACCCAAACCTCGAAAACTTACTTAATTTTAAAAAACTTGACGCGAAGGCCAAACAAATATTCAAAAAGGTTAAAAGAGAAAGTTGGCGTCAATATTGTTCATCTTTAAATAGTAACACCCCACTTAAACAAATTTGGAAGCAAGTTAACTTGTATAAAAATAGGCGACAGAGTAATTATCATGTTATAGAAGCTTCAGCAGAGTGGGTACAGGAATTTCATTGTAAGTTGGCCCCAAATTATGTAAGTAACAACATCGAAAGAAGAATCTCAACGTGGACTAACCATGAACTGATGCAACCTTTTACCTTGATAGAATTACAGAGAGTCTTCAAACAGAACAACAATACATCTCCGGGAAAGGACCAAATTCATTATTCGATGTTATACCAACTACCTACAACAACGAAACAATCGTTATTGGATATTTTTAATCAAATATATTGTGGGAATGCTGAAATACCGAAAGATTGGTACGATTATATAATTATTCCAATTCTGAAACCTGGAAAACCAGAACATCATCAAGATTCATATCGTCCCATTGCACTAGCTTCATGCGTTTTGAAAACTTACGAAAGACTCATCAAGAACAGGTTGGAATTCTACTTGGAGAAAAACCAATTGCTCCCAAGCTCGCAATATGGATTTCGAAAAGGACGGTCTACTCAAGACTTACTGATAAAGTTAACAACTGATATCCAAATTGGATTTTCGAATAACACGCATACTTCTGTAATATTTTTAGACGTTATGGGAGCTTATGATAATGTAGACTTGAATATACTATACAGTAAAATTATAAATATTGGTCTTCCAAAAGAACTTGCCAACCATTTGTTGTTACTGTATAGCAATAGAAACATTTTCATCAGAGCCTCTGAGCAGACTATTGGACCACGATCAACATCTAAAGGACTAGCACAAGGGAGTATATTGAGTCCCATCTTGTATATAATATATTCCTATGACTTTGAAAGAGCTTTTAATTCAAGAGATGCTAAAATATATCAGTTTGCAGATGACTATGCCATTAGTATCCAGAACAAAAATTTATCTCAATCTATGGAACTTCTAGAAACAGCGACTTCCATTGCACACGAATGGTTTGAGAATAATGGATCTTCCATTGCCTACTCAAAATCTTGTGTATGTACGTTTACCAGATCTCGTCTTAGTCCTCCAAATATCATCACTCTGGCTGGGCAGAATATATCCTATAAAACTTCTGTCAAATATCTAGGAGTTATCCTAGATAAAAAACTTAACTGGAAAGAACATATTACATACATATTAAAGAGAAGTCAGAATGCTTTTAACATTCTGAAGTCCTTTTCACATCGGAAATGGGGAGCAGATCCAGCAGTGTGCTTAACCTTTTACAGGACCTTAGTTCGATCAATCTTGGACTACGGATCAATACTTTATGGAAATGCATCTAGAATTCATCTTCAAAAAATAGAACAGATCAAAAATAAGTGCCTTAGGCTATGTATCGGATATTTGAATAGCACTCCCATCAATGTCATGGAGGTCGAATGTATCGAACCTCCTCTTCAATTGAGACGACAAATGTTGAGCGACAAAGCCCTGGTTAAACTGGTCAGCAGGGGATTCATTAACGAGATCCACCAATTGTTTATTCATGGATTAACAGCGAAATACTGGCAACACAAAAGGCTTCCTCTGATCATAGAGAGTTATGAGTGGCTTCTTCCTACCGTCAAGAAGGTACACTCTAATCAAATCAACCCATGTTTCATACCTGAATATTCGGCATATAACCCTCCACCCGAAGTTATCTTTACGAAATATTCCGAACTAGATTTATCAACACCTTACAAATTCCGGCATGATATTCGAACACGATGGAGTGGATGGGAATATATCTTCACGGATGGTTCGAAGAAAGACAATTTAGCGGGATGTTCATTTTATCACAGCAACAATTCATATCACCAAGAATTCAAGTTGCCACCTGAATGTTCGGTATACACAGCAGAACTGGTTGCGATCAACCAAGCTATTGAATACTGTTTCCAATTCCATGGAAATAAGAATTTTGTTATTTTTACCGACTCTAGAAGTGCTGTAACAAAATTGGAGAATTGTCACCCCACTGCAGATCTTAATCATCTAATTGCGAACATCATCAAGCGCATTCAGGAGCTGAATAGAATCGACAAAACTATAAACATAGTCTGGATCAAAGGCCACTCAGGTATAAAAGAAAACGAGATGGTAGATAATTTTGCAAAAAGAGCTACAACTAGAGGCGATTACGTTCCGGGCATAGAGATTCCTTTTACTGACGCTCATTTTCTGATCAGACAACGACTAAAGAATAAATGGAATAACCATTACAAAATCAGTCCAACAGGAAGTTACCTGAAACGTATACAAGAGACTCTTCGAAGCAGACCTTGGTTTCAAGGAATTACCAATCGTCCTTACATTAGAACCGTGAGCAGAATAAGAAGTGGTCATGCCCTAACGCCCCATCATAAATCAAGAATTGGATACGGAGATGATCCACTTTGCAGTTGTGGAAATATAGGAACCTTGCAACACTTAATATTAGAATGTACAAGTTCTATCAACGAAAATTCTGAATTGTATAAAATTTTAGCGAATCACCTTCCTTTGCCTCTAAATTTAGAATCAATTCTCAGTTCTGAGAACCAGCAAGTTTACGAACTTTTATACAAGCATTGTCGGAAAGTAGGCCTAACATTATAAAATGTAAATTACAGTAAGTTTGTTTGAAAAAATGAAAAAAAGAGGAAAATATTGAGAGAAAAAAAAAAAAAAAAAAAAAAAAAAAAAAAAAAAACAAAGAACAATCTTATAAATAAAATAGAGAAAAGGAAAAAATAAGTAAAAAGTTGGTTGAAAAAAAAAAAAAAAAAAAAAAAAAAAAAAAAAAAAAAAAAAAAAAAAAAAAAAATGCGTTTGTATACTACAAAGTATAATAGAAATAATATATAATAGTAATATTAAGTAATGGATGTTCTATTTTCTATTAAAGCATAGCATTATACTGAACATAGGGATCTGGCCAGTTGGTCATCGACCAGTGCCAATAACAGAACAAAAAAAAAAAAACTCCTTTGGTAGCTTTCTTCAGGGGTAGCATACTCGAGTCTTGCTGGCAAGATTCATCATGATGCAGATCTCTGCTTGTACCTGGCTGCGATTCATCAAATAATTTTGCCCTTGGTTTTCTCTTGCAGTGAAGTTTTTTATTTCTAATATTTCTAACATCTCAGCTTCCCTCTTTTTTCATGTGTGTTTCAATTGTGACGTACCTAAACTCTGAACTGACAGGTTCCTGTGTGGTTTCACGCCGGGTTTTAGTCGTAACCTCTGCCCAATTGTCTTGTCATATTGCCAGTTTTCTGCATCATTTGCCAACTGAAAATAAACCGTGATTTAATATAATTTGAAAAACTTTAGCTCTGTTAATAAACTTACATCACAACAGTATAACATAGTGGTAGGAATTCAATACTTGCAGCCTGGTACCAAAGAATAATAGTGTCAAGGTCTATCGGATCTGATAAGAATATTTTATCAGGTAAATTGATACTTGTGTTTGAACACACCTTAATAAGACACTTTTTTACAGACATTTTTTTGTATTGCAATGTTCAAAAGTATTCAATATATAAAGGTTACAAAACGGATAACACAAAATCAACAGCACGAAACACGGTACGGAACTCTGTCACTGTCAAAAGTCAACGGTTTGACCCTCGTTGAACCACAATGTTGCCAAGTTATGTCGACCTATACATACATAATATAGACAGGTACACCATTCAGTCATCACTGTTGATCGGAATAAAGAAGGGTTGCTAAGTCGTGAACTTTCATGAAATTTTCTTGTGCATGGCAATAGCGCTGATGCTTATCCTTGATAAAAATATCGTCACATTCTAATGAGAACCTTTAAAAAAATCGATTCCTATTGGCTGATTTTTTCGGAGGGACAAACATGAAGTTTAAATGAACCCACTTTGGTGGTATGAATTTCAAATGTATTTTTTTCAGCAAATGAGTGAAAAAAGCGCGTGCAAAGTGTATACCAATTGATAAATGGTGTAAACAATCGATTTCAGCTATCAATAGGACAATATCACCAAGTTGGAAAATACCCCATTCACCGCACTGCAAGATTCAACCATTTTTAAACAAATATCACATAAAACAACAGCTCTTGAAGACTGTCAGGCATAAAAATGTTTATAATAACTGTCGCAAACTATCAATATTAATCTTTAA